TTAAGTGCTGAATTTGATAAATACCAAATATTTTCTCCACTTTTAATTTTAAGATGATCTGCACATAACACCTTCTATGAAGAATAATTTGAAGGGTTTGAATATTTTTTTTTTACCCAGGACAGCTTAATTGATTTTATAAAAGATTCTATATGTGGCATTTTTACACCGCCATCCTCATAATTTGAGATAAATATATTTCTTTAAATTTTGTCCCCTTTATCGCCACACACAAATCTGTATTGCATAGCTTGTATATCCCTTAAAATATCTGGGGATGGATATGGCAAAACAGTAAAACATTGAATTAGAATTGGTAGGCAAGAGTTTTCACAACTATAATTTTTCCATTTATAGTAATATTTCTAAAGGACTATTCACTTAAAATTTTAATTTTTAACTTTTTGAATTATTTCTAAGTAATTGTCTATTTATATATATCAACTTTTGGCAAACAGTTTTGAATGCCTAGGAGTTTGAAATTTCCTGAATGGTTCCATAGTAAAAATATTTTATCTGTGTTTAGCTCTCACCACAGTCCCTTTTTGCCCCAATCCCTATAACTGGTTGTTTTCAAAGTAAGCCTTCAACCCAGAGGGGAGAAACACAAGGATATTTTATTCAAAGCACTATTTAGAGATTCTTCACTTTGAATTTTTATATACCATTAATGTTGTTGTCATTTTTATAGATGCACTAAGCAAGTCCAAAAAATTAAATAAAAAGGTAGAAAGACAACGTATTCCCTTGACGTAAATCCTCTCTATTACAAAATCAATCAGATAGATAACCATTATTTTGAAAACAACTTTTTGAGTTATAGTATAGGGTTGTGAACCATTTCACTATTGTATCACCAAATCCTAGAAATAAAGTTTCGCATTTAAAGTTCCACTCTAGAGAATCGAAAATTTTTTCAAAATCTAATAAGACAAGCAAGCCAGAAGTATCTTTCTCATTTACTTTTTGTAATAGGTCATATATAAACGTTTACATTCACCAATATCATAAAATCAGTTTGAATTTTACTAATTATGTGATGAAGGACTTTTTTAATTCTATTTGCAATACATGTTGAACCTATTTTATAGTCTACATTAAGGAGTGAAATATATTGCCAATTGTTTGGAAAATATTTGAGTTTACCATCTTTTGATAAACATAACTCCATATGTTTGTGAAATTGATAATTTACCTTCTTGAAATGCTTCTATGAAAGAACGCAGCAGGAAAGATTTAATGTCATGCCAATTTATTTTCATAAAACCTAGTGGTAAAACCATCCAAACCAGGAGATTTTCTATTTTTCAATGCATTATGAATTTCTGAACTTTTTAACTCCCCCTCAAAATATTATTTTGTCGATCAGAGAGAATTTTGATAAAGGGGTTTTCTAAAGAAAAGGGACTTGTCCTGTGTATATATATATATATATATATATCATTGATAAATATTTTCTTGGATGTATAAAGATTCTCATAATATTATTTTAATTCTGCACGAATATTAGCTTGATAAGTGATAATTTCATCACTATCTCAAGTTAGGTTCAGTTAGATTTTGTATGACTTTTTCTGTATGATTTCCTTTTTCTAGATTGCAAAAATATTTTGTACTTCTCTCACTGACACTTTGCTTTTGCTCTCAATGTTTGCTCCTTTTATTCTAGATTCTCTTAACGTTCTTCACTGTAGTTCAATACGTGTAATATCTTCCCTTTTTTCTTCAATGTTTTCACTATTGTTCATTTTGTTCAAGTGAAGTTCTAATTCTCTTTCTTCTCTACTGTGTTCTTTCTTTTTAAAAGATGAATAAGACAATGTTTTACCTCGTATCATCATTTTCGGTGTTTCCCAAAACAGTTGATCTGAAATGGAAAATTCTATTTCTTCCATGTTTTCAGAATCAACTATTTTGTATTGTCCAATGCAGTCAGCAATACAAGTTTTGATATTAGCAATATACTCTTTGTCGTAAAATAAGTTATCGTTAAATTCCATGTCCATTTTCCTTTTCATGGGTATGAAATTCATTGGACAGAGATGACATTGGACAATTCATCTCAGAGACACTACAACAGTGAACACAGTCATTGTATTAATTTAATAAACCTCCTGAATATATTTACTTTATTTAAATAGATTAAAAGTCTTTCCATTGTGTAGTTGGTAAATAGTAAGTTCTGTGTTCAACATGCTGAAAAGATGAATATCCGTTATGATCATATTTCCGATTTTTTGAAGCTGACCTAAATAGTAGAGCTTTTATCGTTTTTTTAAAATTTATTAACAATATTTACAACATAATAAATAAATATGTAAAATTCATTTAACCAATGAAGCCAGATTTGGGACATTGTACGATAATTCATTCCTTTTTCGTGTAATAGCAATTGGTATAAGGAATTCGGATGTTATGTTTAGCTCTTTTGGTTGCATGGTTTTTTTTATGCTGTTCGACGTTTTATTGTTTGGACCTTTCAAACTTTTTTTGCGTCTTTCATACCTAATGATAATTTTAGGAACACGTGTTTTGCACGTTGGAATCACAAAAAAATTATTATCACTAGTTTGATACCCTCTCAGGTGGACTATCACATACCCCGATGGTGCGATCCACACGGTAGCCAGTGCGTGTTATTGGTGATATTCAATTGATACTTTTTTCCTGTAAATTTTCTTTTCATTAAACATTGTACGCTCTGAAATCATAATCCACATTTTTGTTTTAGATATTTGACGTCAGATATAGATATGGTGTTAATTGAATTTTAAAGGAGACATTTAAACTACATTGTACGATAATGCATTACAAGGCGTTAATACAAAAAAGGAATATAATTATAAAATACTAGATAGTGGATAAAGCAATTATTAGAAAATAAACACTTACTAAATCATCATGTCAATTGTGGAATGTTTCTATTGCTTCTACGTAAGGATATATATAAATGTGCAAAATAACAGCCCAACAAATATAGATGATTACATTGTTGTATTAAGTCTTTCAAAAACTAATTTTCCGAGAATGTAGTACACAGTCCGTAGTAAAAAATTTCATCTTGTGAAAAGAATGGAATTCCTCACTAACTCACAGAATGCTACTGTTATTTATGATCCTATGAAACTTTTAAGACTAACTGCAATAGCATCTGTAGTTTTTATTGTCTCCCTCCTTCAATTAGCATATATTATTGTGTAAGCCACAACACCGACATTACAGAAAAGTCATTTTCGTTTTCTCGTCCTTTGTCTCAGTATTGGGGATTTTCTAACTACGATTTTATGGACACTAATGCTAGTAAATGTACCCTTAGAAATATTTGACTGAGGTATACCTTATTTGTGCAAAGTTTTGTTTGCATTAATTTATTGTTCAGTGTTATTTTCATTGTTTCAGACATTATTGATATCTATTGAGAGATATATAGCGGTATCGGAATCTACCTACTTATCGCTGAAGGAAAATATATCTAAGAAGAAGTTGCTGCCGATATTTTTCATCTTTACATTGTTGCATCAAATGATCCATAACTTTTTTTTAATTAGAATGCAAACGTAATCAGGAATTTGGGTCTATACTGTTCAACCAAGTTCCGGTCGCACTGGTGTTCTCTTTAATAATTATATTGTATACCATAACTCCTTTACAACTTCGAAAAATGCTGACTGTGGTATCCGTTGGAGACGATACCCTTTCGGTATCTCATCATAATCAGCGCGCGCGAAGATTGAAACTCAATACTATTACCCTAGGCTATTGATTTGTTGAATTTCGTGAGAAAGCAAAGCGAATTAATTATTGTGGATTTGGAAACTAAGGAGACTGGTAGACAGTCTATTTTATATTATTCAGGCTCTGGCATGTCAATTTCTATTAGATACATCAATCTGCCATTACCTGACAGATGTTTCTTATGAATGTATGTGTATTTAGACTTTGATACATATGAGGCTTCGGCAGGTACCCGGTGTTAAAATCTCAGAAACCCATTCAGAGCATACAAATCTAGGCAAAACCTAAACGACCAACGTGGTGAATTAGTCTTGAACTTTTCATTTGAAATAATTTTAAATGTATCACAGAGATCAAATAACATCATTTGTACAACAGGTCGTAAAATGAAAAAAATGGACAAGTTTTCAGGACAAAGTCCATTAAAATTGACAAAATCGACAAATGGACGTTATTACACAACAGAACGAATGAAAAACAATTGTAATACTCCTGACTTGGTACATACATTGTCCGAGGAAAATGGTGTTTTGAACCTGGGCTTATAGCTAGTTCAACCTCCCACTTGTATGACAGTCGTTTATAGTTCCGTTATTTTGACAAAATTTGATGAGTTGCGTGTGGACAGCAATCAACATGTCACAAAAGATATCAAACTAGCAGGACATAGGAATAGACAACCTTAGCTGTATTTGACAAAACTTTTTGGAATGTTTGTTCCTCAATGCTCTTCAACCGTGTACTTTTTTGGCCTTTTCAACGTTTATGATGCGAGAGTCACTGATGAGTCTATTACAGACGAAACGTGCGTCTGGTGTGCACAATTCTAATCCTGGTATATATGATGAGTTTATTGTTAAAACTTAAAAAAATACAAATTCGAATCTTATTAGTTGTGTGGCATAAGACATCAAACAACAATATTCACACACATATCTATACGTCATAAATATACGGGCCTCTACCGTAGTTCTGTGTCTATACCATATGTCGAGCTTACTCTTCATAGTTAAGTTAAGATGTGAATAAAATAAACAAAGACCAAAAAAAGATCTACAAGAATACAATGGTCCATATCATGTGCATAACATTTACATTAATGAATAACTATATGTGGACCGAGAACATTATAATAGTAAACCTTTTCGACGTATAAACAAAACAGTAGTAATTAAACACAATACAGTAATAATTAAAACAAAACAGAAAATTACCTTACAATACGCTACAAGTTGAAAAGAATTGTGTTAATGACTTAATAATTCAGCTACAAATCAATTTATTTTCGATAATGCACAAATATTAAGTTGCCAAGTATCTTATACTCCTTCACTTGATACCACCATCGGCCTTTTTTGCACATGCTTTTAATAATTCATAATTGATCGTATCGGACACAAATGAATCTTGCTGATAGTAAGGATGAGTTATTACAAACTTTCTGATGAAATTGGCAGTCGTTGGTTCCGCACCTATATAAATATTAAAACATGTTATATTTTTATATTACTTAAAATATTGTAATCAAAGAAAATAAATGATTTTAACAAATCTTGATAGTATTTATTGACACATGATATACAGGTATAATATCGATGTTGAACCAAAAAAGAAAGAAACACTTTCAGTTATACCGTAAATTTGATGCACCCAAAATGCTTTCATGTGTTTACCATCATCATATACACTAAAACCCGTATATTTGAAAACCAAGGACGTTTAAATGCGAAATTACCAAAAAAATGATCAAAAAGAGGGCATAAAGAGAGAATAGCCAAATCCACCTAAGGTCGACTTAGTTTTAGGGAGTTGGAACTTTACAAGTCCAGTGACACATCAGACAAGTGTTTTGTTTTCGTTATAAACTTGATTAGGTACTTTTTGAATAGTGTGAAAATTTCCGTTAGACACATCGTTATAATGATAACAAACGCTGGGATAAAATTGCCACTGAGATATTTACACGTCATGGTTTTGCAAAGGATGGTGAATTGATGCTCCAGAATGTGAAGTTGACAACAAGAAAACAAACGCCTCGCAAAAGATACTGCAGATAGTCTTGGAATTCATTTTAGATACTTTTACCTTTCTTTCAACGCAAAAAACACAGACATCACAAGAGATAACACGAGAGAAGAGATACCAAAAGTCACCTCGCCTAAAATGTTTCAACAAGAATATATGTCCATGGGACACAATGCCCTGCTAGTTACTTTGTACGTGTTCAGTAAACCCGGACATCGTGGTAAAAACCGTACTTTGAAAATTATTTAAACAGTGTATTTATAAATAATATGTACTAACTTTCAGGTCCATTTGACCACAAACTTCCCTAAACAAAAAATTTAACCTGATACGGGACAAACAGACGGACGAACATACAAGAAAACATAATGCCCTTCTACTATCATTGGGTAGAAAAACTTAAAACACTGACAGTACATGACCCAGCATTTAACACGAATAGTTCTCTATTTGCGAACAGCATAGGAAAATTGTCAAAATTTACACCAAACACACGCTCATCAGTGAAAAAGTTACAGTTTTTTTTTTGGAAAGCTTACACAGCGGTGATCTGCAGTTGTTTACAGCTTTGTCCTTTAGTCCTTTCTTCTTTGTCGATATTTCTCATTGGATTTCATAACACGTACATATCCTTAATTTTATATTATATAGATATAATTCATTGTCACATTGTCATATCCAATGCATTCGTTTTTATAACAGATGTAAGTGGTATTGCCAAGGTTTCCATTTGTTCTGTTGAGCAATTTACCATCTTTGTGGTGAAAAAAGACCCAATCGGGACAGAATAATAATTATGACTACAAATTTGATTTAGATAGAAATACAAATTTACATTGAAACTTTTAAGCCCCTTGTAATGTACTAGGTAGGAATTTTCAAATCTAATTTAAAGCCGTTGATAAATTAAAGAAAATTAACAAGAAAAAAAGACATCGTTTATAGGGTAGGCGTTGTATATCTAAAATAGAAAAACCGTGTTGACCACCTTTTTTCGTTGTATTCATGAGCTCCTATTCCTATGTCGATGCTTACCTTTATATTTGAAATACTTATTGTGTTAAAATTTGAGGTCAAGTAAAATAAAAGTTAACATTTTGATATTTTTGGTGAAAATGAAATTTATCAAAGACAATGAAGCATATTTGACAGAGATAGGACTAATTCCATCATTATTTTTGTTTACAGGGCAAAATCTAAATGTTGCATAATTTAACTGGAATTTGAAATCTATAATATACTTAAAATAAACTTCAAATATTTTTCCATTATTTTATCTTGATAAAAGCATAATGCTTTTGGTTCTTACATATGGTCGTTAAAGGCAATGGCATTTTAAATGTTAATGTTTTTTAGCATGAATTATTTAAAAAACAGCATTCGATTCTATCGAATGTTTAAAGTTACCTGAGGCCCTGTCCGATATAAGTTTTAAGTAACTATTGATTATATAATTTGTGCCTTCATCTGTTTCTTCGCATTTGCTTTTCAAGTATGTTTTCATCAAGGGAATAAGGCCAGGAAATTCCACCTACAAAGACAGTTATATAATACTCTTAATGTTTTTAAAAGTCCATTGCTCACTTAAAGTGTCATATGTATATATTTTTCTATTCTGTAATTTTAATATATACTACGAAAGAAGTAATTTGAGTGTTTTGTTCAGTTATAGACGTATTCTTGTTATATATATTTATTTCAAAACAACTTCAATAATGTCAAGAGAGAGCCATTTGTATAGATGTATAATATCGCACAGAATAAACTGCATTTACACTTGTTAGTCCGTATGACAAGCAGTTGGTAGGAAAATCCCCTTGATTTGATATTGGTACTTTGGTTCTCGAAATCAAAATAAATGTTGATAATTGCAAGGGTTGATTTTTTATTAACATTAAGGTAATACATTTTTGTTTAGTTTTTACAGTTAATCAAAAAGCTAAAAGTTACTCGCATACCTTCGGGTTAACTTGACAAGAACCATTTCTCACATATTTATTAAATACTATATATCTTGGGATTTCTGAACACTTAATTACAATACTTCCAATAGTCTCACAAAGTATTCACTAAAAACAAGATACCTATGAAAAAGTTGATTATTAGAGTAATTTTAAAATGTTGTGCTTGACCTGTTACTATTCCAATAAGTAGTTTGACAAACAATGATATTGAGTAAAACTTCCATTAGGATTTACAATAAGAATGACACAAATAATTACGTTGCCTTTTTATAGATATTCATTACAAAATATCAGCAATTGGGCATGTGGGTTTTATAAAAGAATTTAAACAAATACTGAGAACCGAAATAAAAGTTTAAAATTTTATGTATCTGGATTGGCCTTAAGCAGAAACGGTCAAAGCCACAAATTGTCAGCCAAGGATGTATACGTACCTAATCACTTGCAGATGTAATGCTTCTTCTTTATATAAGTGTTATGTAAAATAAACATTTTATGATGTTCTATGGTAGCATTAAATTATTTAAATTTTGGTACCGATTTGGAAAAAAAAGTGCTAATAATCCTGAATGAAATTTTATTTTAAATGGATGCTCAAATTCTCAATTTGATTCTCATCATTATTTATTATCTTACGTTCCCATTTATTATTTCATCTATTGTCATCTGACAATATTCATCACCGTTTTTCGATTGCAAATGACCAGGCTGGGTTAATTTAACTTCTGCTTTTGACTTGTCTGTAACATATATCCAAAAGTATATTATAGACATTGTGATTGAATGGTTATACTGACTACCTCAATATTTAAAAAGGTCAGTCAAATGGAAACACTTCTATCAAGATACATGTATATATTACGCTAACGCAAAAACAATAAACCGTTTGTAAACTAAAATCATAATTTGCAGTCTAAAATGTATTGTTTCTTTAGTTTTCTATGTTGTGGTTGCATAATGTTGTTTGGATTTTGGTCTTAATATTTTTTTTGGCGTTGTCAGTTTATTTTCGACTTTAACTTTAAATGTTCCTTTGATATCTTTTGCTTCTCTTTTATGAACACGTATCCCTGTATTTACTTGAGGAACAAGACGGGTGCCACATGTGGAGCAGGCTCTGCTTCTAGAGCACCAGAGATCACCCACAGTTTTCGCTGGTTTTTTTGCCATGTGTTTAGGTCTCTATGTTATTTTATTTTTGTGTATTGTTGTTTGTCTTTTGGTCGTTTTTCGTTTTTCCATGGCAGTGTCAGTTTCTTTTCGACTTATGAGTTTAAAGATCCCTTTGGTAACTTTAGCTCCTAATATATAAGTGTACTCATATTTTGTAATTTCGCAAAGTAATGTTTTCTCAGACTGCTTATGCGGTCTCAATTTAAAAGTAAAATAACAAAAATACCGAACTCCAAGGAAAATTCAAATCGGAAAGTCCCTTATCAAATAGCAAAATCAAAAGCTCAAACACACCAAACGAATGGAAAACAACTGTCATATTCCTGACTAAGTACAGGCATTTCATTATGTAAAAAATTGTGGATTAAATCTGGTTTTAAAGCTAGCTAAACTAATCCGATAGATATGCACTGCTTGATATACTAGTCTGGGAAAGCATGGTTAAATTACTTGTTAAAAAAGAGGGACGAAAGATACCAGAGGGACAGTCAAACTCATAGATCGAAAATAAACTGACAACGCCATGGCCAAAAATAAAAAGACAAACAGACAAATAATAGTACAGATGACACAACATAGAAAACTAAAGACTAAGCAACACGAACCCCACCAAAAACTGGGGGTGATCTCAGGTGCTCTGGAAGGGTAAGCAGATCCTGCTCCACATGTGGCACCCGTCATGTTGCTTATGTTGTTACAAATCCGGTAAATAGTCTAATTCGGTAGGTCACATTCGTGAAGAGGGAAGGGTATTGTAGTTACGACATAAGAAACATATCCGATATCATCTGTGAAACGGTTATTCCATAACGGTCAACCAACTCGTGATGGCGTCCGTAAAATTTACGAAGGGATGATTTCAACTTCACCATTTGGATCTCTTGGCTTAATAGCTTCATTGTGAGCAGCAATCCTCTATCAAGGAAATCATGATAGGAAACACAAGCCCGGGAATATCGTATCAATTGGGAAATATATACTCCGTATGCAGGCGCTGCTGGAATGTTGCTACATAGAAATGTTAAAGTTGGCCTTGAACTAGCTTTCAGTTACTGCTAGTGTTCTTAGATTTTTACTCTGTGTTTTTGTGATGATTCGTGCCGATAATTAACATTGGCTTCAATTTTACTAATTGTATTTATCATGAAAAAAATATACCGGTAAATATGTTTCTCCTGAAATAAAACTTTTCCTCCAATACAGCATTGCGTTTGCTAGCAGCACTCATATTTTCATCAACCTGAAATAATCCGTTTTGTAATTGTTTATTTATTACTTTAAAGATCGAGAATATTAACCAAAAAAAAAAAAAAGCAACTTAAATTAATCAGTAGGTAAACTTACATTTAAAAACAAATATTTTAATAAATAAAAGATTAATATCAACCCAACAGGAATATACTTTATTGTCCAATTGCGCATTTTCTTGGTTTCACGTTAATACTATTTTAACCATGTTAACTGGACTTTACAATTAATAAGATATATCATCGAAACATTTAATGAGAACACGATCTGCAGACTATGTTCGCTAAATATGAATTATATTAAATTAATTTGAGTTTTGCCATTAAAACCCAAGCTTAAAGGTACATTGTCAACTTTATCATTTCTTTTGAAAAAGGCTGATTAATGGCTTTCAATATGATAGTAAAACATAAACAAAAATACGGAATCATCAGGGAACACAACATATCCGAACAAAATACTTCTACAATCCTACAGAATGCATCAAAACCTTTATAACTGATTGTTTTATTACCTTTTCAGTTGTATTTTAAGGATAGTGCAGTTTTTGATCAACTGCAATACAGCTACTGACAGATTTACAGTAAGAAACCGTTTGGATCACGTTTTCTTTGATTGATACACTATCAAATTTTATCCAGTTGTTTTCTAGTAATACAAGTCTACATGTAGTAATGTATTTTTACCTTTGATATTGGAATGATAAAATTTAGCCTGTAAGCTATGGCAATTCTTGTCACTAAAAAGACGAACACAACATAAGCAGCATTTTCAAAATCGCTCAGTTGAACCTGTAAATAAATGCTTAATTTTAGTTTAAATAATATTGAGTTATTTGAAATACTAAGGGGTTTCTTTTAAAGGAATAGAACACATTAGCCTTATCATACACAACTTTTCGAAATGTTTGGGGGGCCTCGGTGGCCGAGTGGTCTAAGTGGTCGAACTACTGTATCATTAGGTTGTCTACACTGAGGTTGTGAGTTCGAATCCCACAAGTGGCAGGTGCGCTCGACTCCAATTTTGATTGACTAGAATTCTTAGTTTTCCTACCGAAGGTCGGTGGTTTATTCCGGGCACTCCGAATTCCTCTGCCAATAAAAAATGACCACCACGACATACCACAATAGTGTTGAAAATGACGTTAAACGCCAACCAATCAATCGAAATGTTTGTGTATTTTTGTTTTGATTCGAGCGCATACGGATTACCAATTTATAGGTTTGGTATCTGTCATGAGTTTTTAAATCAATTTATGTTAATATTACCATTTATCATCACATCTGTTGTTTATGTAGATGATTACGATGATGGGGGTAGCATAATATTGTAGTATGAGGATGAGGGGGTACATGTTCATCAGGTGATAAAAACTAGAATTATATAGTGTATACTTAGCAATATCAAAAATAAAATTACACACAAAACCTTTTATATGATTAAAAAATTTTAAAATGCAGACATAGATAAATAAAAAAATAACTAATATTGCTGCTTTTCATTTATTACGTCTTTATTTTTGTAAGAACATTTAGTCACTTATTTATCGTTTTAACAAGACTCAAAATATTTTTTAAATTTTATCTGCATCGAAATTCTTACTGCATTACGGTAGATGGTCCTTTTAATTCTGTTGACAGTTATTTTTTTTACTACTCTCTACACTACACTTCCACACAATGTTATCAAGAAAAAGTTTTCATATTTAATTAAAAGGTCTTTTGAAAAATCTCATTGCAAATTTATTTGCTGTAACTCAATTAAAGCCTTTTTCTGTAACGAAAATAAAAATTATGCTAGATACACTTACTGGAAATGTGAAGATATGGATGGAAGCTTTAAATTTTCTCCTAGACAATATATATATACGTTTCGGCGATAAAATTTATCGACAGGTAGTAGGTATTCCTATGGGCACTAACTGCGCCCCTTTAATAGCAGATTTATTCCTGTATTGCTATGAATCTCAGTTTATGACCAAACTCAGTAAAGACACGTCATTGTTACATTTGGTTGATACATTCAACAATACCTACTGTTATCTTGATGATATTTTTTCGTTAAATAATCCAGAGTTCTCTAAATATACTACCAAAATTTACCCAAAGCAACTTACTTTAAATAAATCTAAGATAAACAGCAGTAGTTCTCCTTTTCTAGATTAAGACATTTCAATTTTCAAAGGGAAACTCCATACTAAAATTTACGACTAAAGAGCTGATTTTTCATTCCCTATTGTTAATTTTCCCTTTTTAGACGGCTATATTCCTTTGGCTCCATCATACGGTGTTTATATATCCCAACTCGTTCGTTATGCCCGTGTGTGTAGTGATGTCATAGATTTTAACGAACGTAATCAATGCATCACTGGTAAAATATTAAGCCAGGATTTCTTTACCATAAAGTGCTTAAAACTTTTACTAAATTCTTTCATAGATACAAAGATTTGATTAGTAAATTTGGCTGTACCTGTAGAAAACTTATTAATAACGGTATTTCAAATCCAAAATTTTACGGTAATATTGTACTAAAAGCGCGGAAATCACTATGTGATCCGTGTAAACTCATCGAACCTTTAATCAAACTTATAAGTTAAGGTTATCTTACCAATGTTGTAATTAGATCTTTGAATATAGTTTACATTGGCACAATTAGCGATTTTGTCATCAGCAAATTAAAACATAACTAAATTTGTATTCTTTTCAAACGGATTTTTTGGATGTACAAATACACATCCACGTTCATTTTATATAGAGATTACTCTATCTATATATTACATTTTCTATAGAGAGATTACTCTATCTATATATCACATTAATTGTTGAAATCCGGATATGGTGTACAAAAAAACAAAAACAAAAAATAAAAAAATTGCACTTTATTTTTGGGATATACTATCTTTTCGCAAGTTTATCGTTTTCTGTTTGGTATTAAAATTAATAATTAAGATCCATGAAACATCTGGTGATCAATTTATTTGGCAATCGCCAATGGCAGTCAGCAGGGTTTAAGAACATCAGTTGTTCGACCTGTTAGTCAAATGCGTTTTATTAAAATATACTTTTCACTTTTTGGGCTTTTGGAAAATGTTGTGTGTGCTGTATTTAGACGCCTCTACCAAGAAATTAGTTTTCCATGCACATGTATAAAAAAATTGCGGTTTTTATCCAACGTTGTTTTCAATTTAGACTTGTATATATTACATTATACATATTTATTAACAGGTTAACTCCTAACTATCCTACTGACTGTCGATACTTTTATTTTGGCATTGCACAAGTCAAGTCCTCTTTGACTGTCCATGACGTTAAAACACTAAATCCCTGAGAAGTGTTTTAGTTGATTTAAGTCTCTGATGCATGATTTTTTATTATTAATTGTTTTTTGGCTTTTAACTAGCTTTCAGTAACTGCGAGTACTCTCAAATCGTACTTTCGTGTTAATTTGACCTGTTGATACAATTTGTAATGTATTTTTGTTATTTAATGTTTACTTATTCAGTGTTATATCTAGTCTCACTATTTTTAATATATACCACCTTTGATAAGTGTTTAGTATGACGGTAAATTTTCACTTTTGTTCTCGTACAAGGAACAACAAAATTATTTATTTTGTAAAAATTATTTACGTACTCCATGTATACCTTACAAGAAAATTATTTTTTTTACCTATGTACGTTATTTTATTTGGCGGCATTTTGTCCAAGGTTATAGTTGTCTATCTGATATTGTTTTAAATCTAATCCCCTTGTTTTATTAATTTTGTATTCATATTGTGTCATAGATCAAATTTATTCGTTCAGTATATGTTCACTTATTTTTGTTAATATTTCTTTTGATTGAGTTAAGCCATTTCAATTGATATTTTAGAGTGTGTCTTTCTATGTTGTGATGTTACGCTATTGTTTCCAGTAGGGTGAAGGTTGGCGCCTATTAAAACGTTTAAACCCGCAGCATTTGTTTGCACCTGTCCTAAGACAGGAACCTGATGTTCAGTGGTTGTCGTTTGTTTATGTGGTTCATAAGTGTTTCTCGTTTCTCGTTTTTTATATAGATTAGACCGTTGGTTTTCCTGTTAGAATGGTTTTACACTAGTCATTTTGGGGCCCTTTATAGCTTGCCCTTTGAATTGTGCCAAGGCTCCGCGTTGAAGGCCGTACTTTTACCTATAATGGTTTACTTTTACAAATTGTGACTTGGATGGAGAGTTGTCTCATTGGCACTCATACCACATCTTCTTATATCTATTTAGACAAGATTGTATCTTTTGTATTGTTTATGGATGAAATCTACTACAAATGACAGCCACTAATCTTAGAATTGCGGATACTGTAATTTTACATCAGCATACTTAGTACTTACAGCTGCTTGTCTTCAGCAATTGCGATCATTCCATAAGACTGTAGTGCTAATAAGTGCTCATCATACTTTTATTATCATACTTTTATTGTGTTTTTGTCATCTTTTATAGAGTGAAAAAATGAAAAAAAAGGGGTTGAGATCTAAAAATCCGACCTTAACACTTTAACAGCAACTTATATTCATCTACCTATCTCAAGTCAAAATATAGTCAGAAATTGTCTTTTGAAATATTTTGGTTTTTTTTCATTATGGGAATTAGGACGGATCTTGTCGGTATTTGTTTATTCACCACATATATACAGGGGAGAATTAAAGGTTTAATATAATATATATACACTTGTGTAGACCGTATGATGGCCTGAAGGCTTCTTTCAGTTTTATGTGTCACTGCTTTGCTGTCTTATTGATGTATACACAAATCTAGATTTATTCATGAAAAAATATAAGAAAAAAAAAAACAAAGAAAAAAAACAAAGAAAACACTTTACTTCCATTGGTCTAAATTCTACTCTCCATCCAGTATTAGTATTAGAGATAGGTAGTTTCAATCGGAGTGTTTGCCAGTTGGTTGAGTTGATGTTCTGTAAAAAAGATAATGCATCTATTTACCAAAATTTATAGTTCATGTAAACAAACTCAGATGTGGTGATGAATTCAACCACAGTTATCTGTATTGTATACTGACAAATTTGGAAATTACGAATATTAAAAAGGACAACGTTTAATTGCGAAGACAATTTTGAAATAAGTATATTAGTCTATTAAAACATTGAAAGCCAGACTCACAAAATAACAACAGAGAAAACATTAAAATTAAGTTTGCTTACTTAAATATTTAAACTTACTTCAAGATGTTGTATGTCCAAATCTTCATTCTGATCAAGAGTTTCGCTACATAGAAACAATGGATCGCGAATAAAAAGATATGCAATGTGTTTGGACAGTGCTTCGTTTAATCCTAAAGAAATACAAGATTAGAATTTATTATTTAGCACAAACATTTGATATTATATGTCTCTTTACGGCAACATCTACAAAACCAAAAGTTGACTTAAACCTGTATATATAGATCCAGGCCATTAGATGCTTCATTTATTGTTAACATTTAGTTGTAGTTATCGTTTTGTAATTTGCCAATGTTAAAGGTGACTACGTCTATTCGATTTACTATTTATCTTGTTTATCTTAATTGTTTATTCATTTTTGTAAGTTTATTATTGTTACTTTGTGAAAAAGCTGTTGCCAAATACTGCTAAACATTGCAAAATACCGTGTTTGGGATCATTGTCCATCAGGGATAAATAATAATGAAGCATAATAAAACACAAGCAATACATGGACTCATAAATAAATTACGTATTAACAAAATTATTACAATCAAAGGATATCAGAAAGACGAATAAACTCGAGGAGCTCACTTTACCCTCCATAGAAAATCTCAAAAAAATAATTTAAATTTATCTGTTACATGTGCTTTTTGTTATTGCTGTCCTATCAATATCGTGAATACAATAGCAGGATTTCTATTATTTTGATCAATAAGTATAGCAATGACACAACTGTACTTTTACAGGTACCGAGTTAAGGGAATTTAAATCAAATATTTGTATCCCCAACGGAACAAGGAGGGCTTATATAAATAAAGCTACCGTTACTTTGTCAAGAACCACACTGATTCCCACAACAAATACACAGGAAATGATATCATTAAAAGACTAGACTTTTTACCCGACAGCATATTTTATTTAGTTTGATGGATTGATATATCAGCAGAAAGTCGATATTCCAATACGAACTAATTGTGCATCACAACAGTGGTGACTTGTTTTTGTACTCACATGAAGCAGATTATATACAGAACTTTCTCAAAGACAAAAAGAAAAAGCATCTTGCAAAGTTCTTTAATTTCACTTTCAGATATACTGATGATGTTCTGTCACTCAATAACCCATATTTCAATTAGTTCTTAATCTTTTCCTCGGTTTTGACACAAATGGACGACATCAAACTAGAATCTATACTAAATGTGATTGTTTCAACTTTCCAATGTTAAACTTCCCATTTCTCAGCAGTAACATAACACATTGCTCTATCGTATGGCGTTAAAACATTACGCTCGTGCATGTTCACACTATTCGGACTTCATTAACAGGGATGTCCTCCTTACACGAAAACTACTGTTCCAAAAGTTATGAAGAAAGGAGATTTAAATCGACACTACATAAGGTTTACGGTCACAATCACGAGTTGGTTGATCGATACGATGTGTCAGTGTCTCAACTCACTAGCAACATGTTTTCGCGGTCTTAAACTTTTAGATACCAGTAAAGTCTTTTGATCTGTGAGTTTACCGATTAGTGTCCTGTTCCCAATAATGACATTTTGACTTAGCGTGTATTCGCATGGCTGGTAATACATGCATAGCAAGAAACGCTTACTCTGTCGACGCATCCGGTCTCGATACTTTTGGAGTTCATGTGATTTAGTTTATGTTTGCTACCTTGATTTGTTTCTTCCTAATGATGCTTAATATTTAAACAACGATAAACTGTCGCTGCTATTTATTTTCTGTTGTCTTAGTCGTTGAATTTTTAATACGTCGAAATAATCATAAAAATAGAAAGATAAAACAGTACTAACTGTTCAATATCATGCGGAATTTGAGATAAATATGACTTAAATTATGAGATACTGTATCGTTTTTTAAACCTTACGCAATATGGGTTTACCAGACGATGCTACATGTGTATAAACGGATGTTTGCGATCAAATATTTCATATATAGTCATTGAATAAAGTCGATTGATGGGTCTAATAAGGGTAGTACAAGTCAAGACATGTGAGCTGTGTCACCTTTTGGCATATCAATGAGCAGTTTTTTTTAGAGCCATACAACATGTTTTAAATTCTGAATAGCAAGAAGACGGTACCAAAACAGATGTGGTCAAAAGAATAAAACAATTACAGATGCATCATGGATGCACAAACCAAATTGCGACCTTTATGGATAAGTAGTCTAGAATATCTAAGGACTGCTGGCAATTTCTGTCTAGTTATGAAAATGCAAAAAGTGCCCTAGTTCTCTCTAGTTTTAACCTTCACCTTTGACCAAGTGACTTTAAACTAAATTGAGGTATTTTTCAAACCAAATTATTGGCTAAAGATTTTTCAAGATGCGATTAAAGGCTCAAGAGATATAGTGAAATTTTCCCGTTTTTTTCTTTTTATAGGAACTGTGACCTTGACCTTTCACATAGTGACCAATTATAGTTTTGAACTTTACAAAGGGGATTATCAAGTTTCGTTTGGTGATGATTGGAGATTTGATTCAAAGGATATTATCCTGAAACCAAAGTATTGCCTTAATTTCAGTGTATCAACAGCTGCTGTTATCATGACTTTTGATCTGGTAAACACAAATCAAAAGAAGTCTTCTTAAGCCCACAGGAAATTATCAGATCAGGTTTAATTAGTAAGAAAATGTTTTATGGATTAACAAGTGTTGTTAAATGTTTAAAATTTTACTACATCCTAAGCATTTTATCTTGTTCAGGCAAACATTTAGGGGAATCCATATATATATATTGGTGAAAAACGTTACCTTCATTTTTCAGTTCTTCATACGAATCTTTATCATATACGATGTCTGTGTCATTGTATTGATAATGTTCTGGTGAAATGTAGGTTGCTACAGAACCCCAACGTGACTTTTGTATTCTAAATCTATCTTTCTTTAAAGGCTGAAAAATACAAACTCCATTATTTTAGTGATAACTATATGCAAGTCAGAGAACAAGATCAAGCAAATGCTGTTCTATATTATTATTAAATGATAAAATTGCATTGATAACGTATCCAAGATTATATATTAAAAAAATAGATATTCGAAACCAAATACGATAGATGTGAATTTATCAAATGTTTAAGAGCAATACATGCTTAAAATTATCAAAAAGTACAGCAGAACTAACTTATCCATAGGGACTATAACGTAAACAATTTTTTTTAAAAGTTCCTTTGAAAGTTGAAAATATATAAAACTACTAATCTGATCTAAAAAAAAAAGCTTTTCATTCTAAATATTTGCTCTCATTTATTCAATTAATCTTTACGTCTCCAATTAAGATTTTCAAAACTTGTTATATCAGATGAAAAATATAGAAATAGATCTGCAAAATGTATTTTATAATTGTTTCCTGACACCAAAAGTATCTTAAACTTATCTAATGACAAATTTGAATCTATTTCAGAATGTCCATTTATTTTTGAAACATTGAATGCATGCTTTGACCAAAGAAAGTTTTCTTTGCGCATGTGTATAGAGACACCATTACATCTGTTGTTACGCCTTTTTGGTAAGTTTGAGAAAAAAATTTGTCTATGCAAACGGGTAATATAGACAATGTTGTTTTATAAAATCAAATATACGCTTGAGACCTAAACAATTTAAAGATTACAATATTAGAAACGCAAAGCGTAATTATACAGAATAAGAAATTTTTAATACCATAAATAAAGGCAACATTAGTATACCCTGTTCAAAAGTCATAAATCGATTAAGGGAAAACAAATCCGGATTACAAACTAAAACCGAGGGAAACACATCAACTATAAGAGGAAAACAACGGAACAACAGAAACATTGAACTGCAACAAAAACAAAACGCCAACATACATAGAAATGGACTATCTTATAACAACTGCCACATTCCTGGCTTGGTACAGGACATTTTAAGAAAAAATGATGGGTTGAACCTGGCTTTATGGCTAGCCAAACCTCCCGCTTATTTGGCAGTGTTAAGAATATCGCCAAATGACAACACTACGTGACAGGAATACAGTACAAACAAACATAAGAACACTCAGCACAGATAAATGCATAAACAAACAATACAACAGTACAACAGTACATCACAACATGTAAACTGCAGAATAACAACATACATCTCCCATTAACGACAGCACAGGACACCCCAAACTGCTCGTCACATGAATGGATCAACGCCACAAAAAGTGACGTATTTTTGAGATGTATATATATAATCTTGAAATTCATACAATTATATGGAACGAGATAAAAAAAAAAATTCACAATACTAGTCCAAATAATTATCATGATTATGACGGTCTTGAAAGGATATTTTAAATTAATGCTGCGACGATGTCAAAATTATTTGGATTAACACAATACTTTATCCATGCAAAATGGAAATTTAACTCGACTATACTGATAAATAAGAAATATGTGAGATGTACCGAAAATACAGAAATCAAACCACAAACGATAAGACATAACACTATATCCAACCGTATACTTACAAAAGAAACATCATAACTAAATACATGAATGTTGAATGTATAAATACCGAAACACGTCGTATAGCAATGCAGTCATATTCGGGAATAGGTCACGTTCGGTACTTAGCAGACAGACGACGTAAATGGTAAACCACAATCTAAGACGTGGTAAAAATGCCGTTAGTTAGTTTATTCACAGACACATCGTATAGATCAACCAATTCGTGATGGTGTCCATAAAATTTACTGATTGTCATTTTTAATATTTCCTTCTCATAACTCTGCTGGGGCAGTTTCTGCGTAAGAAGCACACTCCTGTATATGAAGTCCGTATAGTGTGAACATGCACGAGCATAATGTATCAATTGAGATATGTAAACACCATAACTGCTTATATCGTGTGCTGCATTAACCTCAGATTTGAGGGAAAAAAATGGGCTCTGTGAACCCACTCTACTATTTGGCAATTTTAACACATATATTAAACTCTTTACATACGTAGTTTTTTTGAATAAATTTCACAGTGGATATCATTTTTTCATTATCAAACAGATTTTAAATTGCGTATCTGTTTTCAAGTATTCAATAAGACTGTATGATTGTGATTATTATCATCACTACTCAAGATCCCGGAATAAACGTTTTCAATTAGACCTAAGACTAAAAATTCGGTAGGCGCAATCCATAAAACGTTTGAGCATTCAAACAAAATAAACCTAAGCAGTATATAAAAAAACATATATTATACGGTCAATTTTGCGTCAGAGTGTTGCAACCTTTGTAAAATTAAATAATTTATAATCTGAAAATTTTAGGTAAATGCATCATTTAAACCATGCTATACCATCTGGGCGGATTATTAATTCGACAACAGACTATCTACCAGTAGCGATACCATCACAGTGGTAGTTGTAATTCCTATCAATACGATACGGATTTAAACCGCTTCTGTTTCTGAAAATAATCATTATCAGGTACGATATTTCAAAAGTATCACACCATCGAAACCAAATGAATTTGTGGTTAAAAATTTTATGAGTTAAACACTGTTAAAGGTGTTTATATTTACTTTATTCTTATGTAATTTTCTATATTTTACACTGTGTACAGTCTATATCTATTAACTTAAATGTGTTCATAAACCATTGCATTATACTCTGTCCATTACAATTATTCAAATGCATACCTTCTGACCCTTTTCCTCATCTGTTCTGTCATCAAAACTTTGTGATAAGACTGGCCATCGAGTATCAATATCAGACAGATAACCTTTATATACAGGAGATGCTGCACTTAAAGCTAGCTGAAAGTACAATTGTCCTGTTATTTTAAATCGGTATACATATATATTTATCATGTTTATGATGTTTTGGGGAGAACTTAAAATCCTTCTACTAATCTGTATATTAATAAATTAGAATCCTGCTAGACGTTAAGCAGTCGGATTCAATCAATCAATCTTTATATTAATCAATAAATTATTCATGGTAAAGTAGCTATGCGCAATCCTTCTCTCCCTTACTTTGGAAAATGACAAATTGACCACCTAGTAAGCGGAAATGACTTCTTATTTTTAAAAAGATATTTGTACTGTTATTGAACTGCGATGGCATAACTCCAATCATTAATTTAGGTATACTTCTTTTTATATTTAAAGCTCGTCATGACTTGCAAGGTGAGGATATCTTGATGGCTGTAGGAAAAATGCACTGTAGTACTGTCCTGTTGTTCATGCTTTTAATCACTCCGAGCAGGAGAGCAACATCGGCAGAAGGAAAAAAAAGGAAAAAAAAAGTTGATATTTGATATCAACACAAAGCTACACCCACATTCCCTTATTTTTTTTATATAAAAAGATAAAGCAAGAAAAATATTCCACCAAAATCTTAAAGAACGACATATGAAATTATTTTGTGTAGAAAATAAACAGGTGTTTTGTATCCCATCCACAATTTTTAGGGAAAGATGGAAAATATTGTTTTGCACTCGTCACGGTGATCCATAACGTTTGATTATGCCAGTTTTTATTGACTTATCCTTTTTTTTTAATTTACTTTGGGGCTCAGTAGTTTGTTATACTGTTTATGCTGCTAGCTATAAGTTCCCGTTTGATGTTACTAAAAATGGAGGTTCCGCAGAGAAATCTCAATGACACTAGTGTCATGTTCTGGTTCTGTTTTGTCAGGCGTTCTTGTAGATTTACTAAAAAATTTCACCATGTATAGCAAGCGCATGTTGCGAAATTTTCATTCAACGGTTCGTGTAACATTCTTTCATACTTGTCCATCTAGTTAAAGAAATAAGTAAGGCGATAAGGCAGAAAATGTCATGAAATAAAATTGAAAAGTTATGTAAAGTGCATGTATGTATCAAGTAAAAGTGTATTTGAATTCTCAAAAGTTAAGCTTGACGAGATGCAGAATATAAAGCTTACTTTGAAAAACAAATAATTACCTTGAAATGAGAAAAAAAAACATGAAAAACCACGAGATGTGTTGATTAGATAGCAATACTCCAACCTACAGCGAGTAAATATTGTGAATTCATAATACGTTCCATGTAAACGCGATCAATTACTTGTAATATTTGATTCGTAAAGAAAAACTAAACGCAAGACAAAAAGAGTGCGAGCAATTGTTTGATTTCCAAAAGATGAAGGTAAATATTGCAGAATGTCCTCAAATTGTTAATTCCCTTTCAAAACTACTAAATTTCATGGCCCATACAATGTTTTTACCTAACGGTTTGATCGTCATCACTGAAATTTAAGTATATGCAGTTGTATGCATACGTTGTGAGCAAATCAACACCAGAGATACATATATTCGTCAAGACAATCATTTAGCTATACCATGTGTGTATTGTTAAGGGAAAAAAACTAACACTGCACTACATCCATTTCATAAGACCATTTTCAGCGTTTAAGACAGTTGTTAAGCCTTTCTTTCTAGAATTACTTTAAAGCATTGAAAACAATTTGGCAACGAGCATTGAGCTTTTGTATCAGTGTAAACAAAGCCCTCATGACATGAACGTGTACAAGAGTACACCAATAGCGGATTGGGACAGGTAAGTACAATTAACATATAAACTGTTTGTCCGTTTAACTGTCTTTTCTGATGTCGATAAAGATTTCAGTTTTATTATTTCTTGAGGGCATTTTGCGAACTCACATTTCATAAATACTTCTCAGCCAAATCTTGCTCCATGTAATTTTGAAGCATTAATTTTTTTCGTCATGCCTTAGATTTCTTTGTCGACATTTTTTGTCTTTGACTGTTGTGGTGTGTATTAAGGCGACGGTAATTTGTATAAGTTCTTTTTTCGTAAATCGATTTTAAAGAGACAAAACATGGTAACAAACAAACACTGGGAAATCGCATAAACTACGAAATAAGCGAGACCGGGTGGATCAACAGGATGTTTTTTTAGGTTTTTTTACATCTTTCTTAGGATTGATTTTCAATAAACCTTTTGGTATCTTCTAATCTGTATTGACACCTATTTAACAAAGTTTTATTTGACTAGGACAATAATAACCATAAAACATACCATAATAGGACAAATGTTTACAAGTTGATCGTATAGGTATATTGCTTCATCCAAGGTATCCATCTGAAAAGTCGTTTGCAAACCACAACACCCGGCACCAAAAACAAGACCTTCCATATAAATACTGTTATCATAACATTGTTCTTTTTTGCATTTAGTCTTTGTGCCCGCAGGAAAAGCCGATTTAGTCTTCATATCCTGGTATACTGTATTGATATAAGTAAATTGAAATACATACAGCTCACCTTGATGCAAAAGTTTTTTTGAAGAAGTTGTGAAATATATTTCTACTAGATACAGTGTATGACCATAAGTATTTGTCATTTTTTCTCTATATCTTTCATATAAAACTACGGTTGTTCCAAAGAGGTGTCATTTATGTTTGGATTTTCACCAACTTGGTACCAATAGAAGCAGAAATGTCACATGTTATTTTTTTTCCATTTGGTTGTATTTTTGTGGGGTGTTTTATTTTCTGATAATATAAACACTAGTATTATTTTCTGTTCAGAAATTTACTTCATAGTTCAACTAATTTCAATTGTAAAAAAAATATACGTGTTCATATCATGAGAAGAGGAAAACAACCACAGACAAAACTATGACCAAATACACAAATATACCTTAGATATTTCTATGTCTTTTAACATCTGGTGTGTAAAAATTCAACCATAAATATCTTTTTGAAAACATGTATTTTATATGAAATATATAGTAAAAGATTGAAGATGACGAATACTTTTACGTGTACTAAAACAAATTTATTTGATTATTGTTTTCAAAATTTGCGTCTTCAACTGATAGACACCCATCAACGATACTAAAGTAAATGTGATAATCACTTAACTTGAAAAAGTAAATTAAATATTTTATGCAAATCCACTTACTTGATATATAAAACATTTTCATGGACTTAAAATTGAGAATGGAAATGGGGAATATGTCAAAGAAACAACAACCCGACCAAAGAGCAGAAGGCCACCAATGGGTCTTCAACTTAGTTTTGTTAGTCTTCAATCAATTTAAAAATTCAGGTACCATGTGGAAAGAACACCTATCTGAATTTTGAAAACCTTTGACTGCATTTGAACGCTTCTTAAAAATCCTGCAGACCACTTGAACATAATTTTTTTCTCGGTTGATTAATTTTCGAAATTAACTTTTGTTGAATGTCATACTTGTACATGTCCGAACAATATGTTACTGTGTTGGACGATAACGCCCTAACTACAACGTCTAGAACGTCTAGTAGTGTTTAGCTTTTGAAATAAAATAATCGGTAGAATATGTCACTAATTACATGTAAGCTATTGAAAAAAAAATAACCAATAAACGTCTTGTTTATGTTGCAATTTTTGGAATCATGACACACCAACACCATTCTGGACGAAATCACCAAAAAAAACCCATTCTCTCGCAGGACAATTTTAGTCACCGTGACATTATACTCTTCATTTGGAAAGAATAATACCAGCAACAACACGATTGTATCTTTTGGTTTAAATATCACAAACTGAATTTCAACACCCTTATACCTGCTATCGGTTCTGTAGAGGCAATTGGTAACACAGAAAAAGTTGTACACGATTGCAAAATTGTATTGTATTCAGTCAATTTTGCAAGTGGAACAGCAAACAAAAATCTGCTGTACACGATAGTAAACACAATTGTTTTTATGGCAATCGGGAACAAGTTATCTTTTGTATTTTGCCAGTAATAGGATGTGATGGTCAATCTATTTTTTTAACATTAGATTTAAAAATGCATACCTGGAATTAGTATTTCAATTTTTCCACCTTTTCTTTCTTTTATGTTCTGATGTATACTCCTGTGATAAAATTTAGTAAATACTAAGCATCAAGTCAGAAACATTTTATTCACTAGGATACTTTGCAATCGGTTTCTAAAAACATGATTTGAATCAAACAATGTGCAGACTATTAGATTTGTAGTTCAAAGTAGTGTTTTCATCCTTCCTGTCATGATCTTTCTTAATTCATTATGACGTTTGTCTTCTAACACGACTAATGTACTGACTATTTTTGATTTTTCGTTTGAATAGATGTATGTCCTTTGGAACATACTCCTTCTTGGTTCACTATCATGCTAAAATAACATTACACGAAGAACTCAAAATTCTTACTTACGTTGTTCTTTGGCGGTCTTTGTACATAACGTCATCGGGGGAAAACCATGACCGTGATGTACCATTGTGCGGATTAAGTTTTGTCGGCGGAACAGCAAAATAACCAACACCTAATCTACAATTTATATGTTTAATGCTCTTTTACTCGGATTATAGAAATGGCCTTCCAACTGAGTTGATTTGAGGGCCCCTGATAAGTCTTATGTACACGAAACACGCGTCTGTTGTAACAAATAATAAGGCTGACATTTTTCATATGTTTCTTACAGCAACTGGGTCGCAGCCAGTGCTGGTATCACAAGTTCAGTAGTCAGAACTAATGTGTTGAAATACAAATATCATTGAAACACTCATTTTTTTGTAATTTTATTGATTATAAAAAATTGATTTATTCGAAATACTTAGAGTTGTTTTAACCTCAAGCATAAATGGCATTAACCGTATTTGTCATTAATGTTTTGGTTTTCAATGCTCTTCAATTTCGTATTTGACCTGGCATGGATGGATGAGAATTATTTAGACGAAACGCACATTTGAAGTACCAAAATGTAAGCATGGTATATTTGATGATTTTTTATTTTGGATGTGACGTAGTTATTTTTTTGTCCACTTATAATTTTTGATTGACCTCGCGGTATCTTTGATTATACCAATAAGTCTATTACGAAACAAGTAAATATTTCGATTATTCGTTATCTTGTTTGCTTTATAAATGAAACTACAATGAACAATAAAGGCGACAGTAGTATACCGCTGTTCAATAGTCATAATTCGATTAAGCGAAAACAAATCCGGGTAACAAACTAAAACCGAGGGAACACATCAACTATAAGAGGAAAACAACAGAACAACAAAATACTTATTGGACATAAATGCCGCTGGAGGATCCTACCACATCTTTTTAGTTTTGAACGAAATAATTTCTTCCACGTTATTAAATATTATAAAGCGTTTGAGCAATTTATGATATTTGTATCTTTATTGTTAATTGTAGCAGTGACAATTATACGCCAGTTGCGATCTGAGACGTTTAGCAAAAACATGCTTTCATATTTATTCATTTAGAAATGTACAAACAGTAGGAAGGATAATGATGACTTTTAACGTTAGATTCAATTGACAGAAACAAAGAAGATGTGGTATGATTGTCAATGAGAAACAGCTGAAATAAAAAAAATAATTGAAATTTGTATCTAACCAATATATATTACCTTGGGTACGATGGCAGAGTAAATGGTATTTCATCCTGCTCTAATACAGACGTTAGCTCTTTTCGCCTAAAATATTGTTGGAAATGTGAGTAACATTAATGCTAAAAGGATATGGGGTATCCATCAATGACACAAAATCAGTACATGCACAGCAAAAAAGCACACATAAAGCAAAAGAACAGCGCTTTTATTGCTGTTCTTCATCTCAAAATCACAGTGAGGCCTTCAACACGGAGCAAAAAAACTCTCACTCAACTGCAAGTTTAAGACGGCCCCTAGCACCGGCTTAAGCGGAATTCTTGGTAAAAAAAACATTTGGATAGACTTTGTAAGATGTAACACAACTTAATCGGGCCCGGTCAAAAAAGAACATACTGGAAAGTAGTACATATCTAAAACAAAATAGTTCCTACGCATAAGCATATATATAAGATTACTTTTAAATGCATGCATCACATGATAGAGATACATCCAGAAAAGCGTATCATCAGTTCAGTTGTTCGGTCATAGCCACTTAACGTTTCTGAGTATTTTAAAATACGTTCTGGCTATCAAATATTTTGCTTTTTGCGTTCCTGTTGAAGGTAAATACAGAAAAGCACAAAATGTACAAAGTGTTATTTTCCTTTACACTTGTTACTATATCATCATGATCATAGGGTTTCTTTTGCTTTCTTAAAGGAGAGTGTGCTTATAGCTTCAATTAAAGACATTGAGCTTGTAGGAACGATATGGTATTATAGAATATATCATAATACATTTCCACGTTCTTATGTTCATACGAACATTACAATAAACTTTATTTTTTGCATTAAAAAAAATGAAAAGATACCAACATTAATTTGATGATCAGTTGAAAAATGTTTAATCTATCAAATCATTGGACGGGTAAAAGGATGATGACTTATTAATCTGTTGTGTCAGTTCTTCGCCTTATGGACAAGTCACACTTTATGTTTATGCACGAACAACAATCCAAAATAGAATGGAACATTAGAATGCACTGGCTAAACTTCTGACTATTAAATAAGAACTGTACTGTTCCCAATTTTCCATTTTCTAAAAATAATAGTTGTATACCGAAATGGTCCGTCTATGTTAAATTCTGTCAATACCAGCATTCTCGGACATCGAATCACTTGTGCGGACATACAAATACAAATTATCTTTAATCTTTCCATTAAACGTTACCTTTCTTTCATACTCGACTCAACTTTTGAAATGGAAGTCAATAGATCTGAATAAGGTCTTTCAGGGATACTTTCTACCATATATCCTCCAAACTCGGGTGTCCATATCGGAGCAGGATTCCTTAAAAGTTAAATTGTCTTGCAAAGAATAAGTATATCTTTTATTGTAATATTCTGTACAAAGCACAAAAATGTCGTCATTCACCGCAAAAGCTAACCAAACCTTTAAACAGACTTATTCAGAAGGGGTATAGTTAAGATACTGTTGTCAGGTCATTAAAGATGTCATTTTTTAAAATTAATATTGATTCACTCATAGGGTCTTTGCAACGGAAATAAACACATTTATTCTAAAACCAGTTATTGGCATGATACGGGTTATGTTCTTCTCATATATTTTATGATGGTATGATACTAAACCCCTAACGGGAGGGATTGTGCTTGATTTTCACATGATGAAGACATAATCTTTCAATCAGTTTAATTACGGTCTGGAGCTGGCATGTCAGTAACTGCTAGTAGTCCCTTGTTAATGTATGTTATTATGGTCATTTTGCTTACTTTCTTCTGTTACATATTCTAACATCGGACTCGGACTTCCTTTAAACTGAGTTTTACTGTGCGTATTGATATGTGTTTGTTTATTCTACATTGGCTAGAGGTATATGGGGAGGGTTGAGATCTCACAAAACATGTTTAACCCCGCCGCATTTTTGCGCCTGTCCCAAGTTAAGAACATCTGGCCTTTGTTAGTCTTGTATGTTTTTTTCATTTTGGTTCATCTATATGTTTCGGAGTTTAGTGTGACGTCTATTTTCTCTAAACTAGTTTTCTCTGAAATGAAACACATTTGCTTTTAGGGGACGGCCGAAGCCCGCCTCCGGGTGCGGGATTTTCTTGCTGTGTTGAAGACCCATTGGTGGCCTTTGGCTGTTTTCTGCTCTTTGGTCGGGTTGTTGTCTCTTTGACACATTCCCCGTTTCCATTCTCAATTTTATTTTCAGCCGTAACACACCCTCTGCTCCGTCGTATGGTGTTTGCATAAATCAATTGATACGTTCATGCATGTTCACACTATACGGACTTTATATACAGGAGTGTGCTCCTTACGCAGAAACTGCTCCAACAAAATTATGAGGAGGAAAGATTTAAAATGACACTCCGTAAATTTTATGGACACCATCACGAATTGGTTGATCTATACGATGTGTCTAAACTAACTAACGACATTTTTACCACGTCTTAGATTGTGGTTTTCCATCTATGTCGTCTGTCTGCTAAGTACCGAACGTGACCTATTCTCGAATATGACTGTTTTGCCGTGTGTGATTTTGCATTGCTATACGACGTGTCTCGGTATTTATGCATCCAACATTCGTGTATTTAGTTATGATATTCTTTTGCAAGTACGGTTAGATATTGTGTTATGTCTTATCGTTTGTGGTTTGAATTCTGTATTTTCGGTACATTTCACATATGTCTTCGTTGTCAGTATAGTCGAGTTAATTTCCATTTTCCGTGGATAAAGTACTGTGTTAGTCCAAATAATTATGACGTCGTTACAGCATTAATTTAAAATAGCCTTTCAAGACTGTCATAATCATGATAATTATTTGGACTAGTATTGTTAAAATGATTGTGAATTTTTGAACCTCGTTCCATATAAATGTACGAATTTCAATATTATATATACGTCACAAAAATACGTCACTTTTTGTGGCGTTGATCCATTCATGTGGCGAGCTGTTTGTGGTGTCCTGTGCTGTCGTTAATGGGAGATGTCTGTTGTTATTCTGCGGTTTACATGTTGTAATGTACTATTATATTATTTATTTATGCATTTCTCTGTGCTGAGTGTTCTTGCGTTTGTTTGTACTGTATTCCTGTCACGTAGTGTTGTCATTTTAGCGATATTTTTTAACATTGCCATATAAGCGGGAGGTTTGGCTAGCCATAAAACCAGATTCAACCCACCATTTTTTTAAAATGTCCTGTACCAAGTCAGGAATATGGCAGTTGTTATCAAATAGTCCGTTTCTATGTATGTTGGCGTTTTGTTTTTGTTGCAGTTCAGTGTTTCTGTTGTTCCGTTGTTTTCTTCTTGTAGTTGATGGGTTTCCCTCGGTTTTAGTTTGTAACCCGGATTTGTTTTCTCTCAATCGATTTATGACTTTTGAACAGGGTATAATACTTTTGCCTTTAAACAAAAATAATTAAGAGTAAATACAACTGCAAAGTTAAAGGGGAAAAAACAATAGTTCTTTGAGCTAGAAAGAATCAATACGATTAAAATACACGAATACATTTTTCAAAATTAGATGTTGACAAATATAATGCTTGCTCGTGTTAATTCGTGCATAGAGCATGGTATGATAGAATTATTAACAAAATACTATTGTACTTCAAAACGGACCTATTATGCACGTTCGAAAGGCAGCCATTTTGATTTGACGAATCCAAAACATTATAGAAAATCATCCGGTTCACGATTAAAAAAAATGAACAGATATATGTAAACTTACTTATAGAATGATTTTATTTAATTTCCTAGTGAGAAACACCAACACAAATGTGCATTTTGATTACTGGCGTTGTTCAAAATTCAACTAACTTTGCAGATTCAAGTGTGACGTTAATCACGTGTAGACCATGTTTTATTGGAATTAGAACATGATTTTGTTTCCGCAGAGAAAGAAGAACGTCATATTAGAATGATAATTTCAATGAATTACTTATTAGCAAATATATTCTTTCCTTTGAAAGCAAAAGTTAAATTATTCCTGTATGTGTACTTCTGGTTTACCATTTGTTATTTAATTTATGTAAAATATGTATTAAGCACACGCACACAGACACACACATACACACTTAAAATACAAAATTACACCTTATAATACCCTATATTGCCTTTATTTAAGGTCTCCAAAACATCTTTCGCCTTAAGACAAAGCTTAGTTGTTTTTTCTTCATCGTCAATCTTAACAATCATATATTCAATCTGAAAAAAAAACGTATTCAAGAGAATTGTTTTCGAATCTATTGTATAATTGACAACATCTACAATAATTACTTATTACGACTGCTTAAAGTATTTCTTATGCTGATAATACAATAAAAAAAAATATATTTTACAATAAGAAGTTTATGAGATTTTATTTTGCTCATTTTATTACATAAATAGGAAAACTCTTACAATATTTTTTTACATTATTTAAAAATCATTTAAGATATATTTATAGATAAATAGGATAATATGGGTCATTAAAACAAATGTCGAATTTTCGGTTGACCAATGTTAAAATTGTAATTTAATGAAAAATGCCAATGTAATTGTTTAAAAAAAAATTAAATCTATTTTTATGATATTGAATATATTTAAGTAAGATTTTTGCGTAATTTATATGCGTAGTGTATCAGGGTTACCCATTTGAAATTATTTTGTTTTCTATTTTAGAATGTGTATAATAACTCTAACGAAAAATCACAGTTTCTTTCTTATTCTAAATAAAATAATTTCTACAAACTAAATTCAATCGACGTACATGAAATGCATGTCTACCCTGTAACCAATACTAGGTCAACCGTTAAATCATTTCCTCCATGAATATGGAACTTTTCAGTGAGGATTCCAAAAGATCAAAGCATCCTAAAAATTGTACACGTCACAGTTCTTGCATAAGAGTGTTGAAAAAAGAAAATTCAAGAAATTTAATCAAAAAATAAGTGCGTACCAATCTATCCTGCCTATGCTGTTACCAACAAATGTATTAATGACAACAATATTATACTTATAAATCAAGCAATTACGTGTTGAAATCAACGACCACAGAAGAAAAACATTATCACTGCAAAAAAGGTTGTAGTTATTTTTTTCACAACAACATTCATCAATATAGATTTGTATATTCTCTTACTATGGTTAAAGTAGCATTACAAACAATATTGGACTGAATCGTCTTCAAATAGTATTTTTATAAATATATATATTTTTTACATATAATAAAATGTGTGGTTGTTTGAACTCATTTAAAGGTTTCAACAATTTCACAATTCCCCACACACAAAATGCAATACCGGTATCAAGATAGATAAACTAGTAACAGGAAAGAACTTATGTTGGTGGTATATCGTAAACATACGTTCTTGTTACCAATTACAAAAAAATACAAAGTTAAAACTATATTTAAGGGAATTACTTGACATTGGGTTAGAAGAAAGAGATCAAAAGAACAGAAATGTTGTATATTAGGAATTGGTATCATAAACTTGGTGCAGGTGGTCATGTTTATAACCTTTGAAAACCAATTTTTAGAGTAATTTTTCGGTTCAACATGGATCATTGAAAATCTATCATACTTTTATAAATTTTGACTTGGATGGAGAGTTGTCTCATTGGCACTCATACCACATCTTCTGATATCTACAGAAAGAAAATATATGGATTATTTTTGTTCGTGAAAATCAGTTCATTTTTCATGAAAAACATTCTTAACCTTTTATCGAGAACGTCTCTTGATAGCCGAAAAATTACTTTTGAACATGGTAACAGGGTAAACAAAATATTGCACCACCTATCAAAAATTTTTCAATACATTCTTGCATGACATAATTAAGATTGCATTTTTATATGTTGTACAAAAAGTAGTGTTTATCTCGATTTGCGTAAAAGAGTATGGTTTTAACTAGTATCTTTTATTTTTTTAACAAATCGATCGATATCTCGCATATTTGATTTTTCCTGTCATTTTCCTTAAAAATCGAAAAATTCGGTTGTTTCTCATTATATTCACAATGAGGCCTTCGACAAGGAGCAAATACCGACCGAACGGTGATGTGGTCTTTGCATTGTATTCATTAGTATCTGAAGAATATTGAAATTTTCATTTACATTTTATTTCTTTTGCCCGAAGAAATTGTCTCCCAAGCAGCGTGCGACAATGGTGATATCTTGCGTTTGTGAACAAAAACTATGTAGGTAAATTTAATCTCCATTGACGTTAAATTTACGGAAAACTGGTAGATTTCTCTTTTCTATGACCGAAAAAAATTCTGCATTTGTGCAAACGCTTAATATTTTATATGTATGTAAGTATGAACAATTTACCTCATCTCCCCAGTACAAAGGATCATTGCGCCTATCCTTGTGTTTCTTGTACTGGTATATAAACTGTCTAATGCCTTGTTTCTTAACACAAGCGAGATTGTTCTTTATTTCTTCCCAATTCAATGGTGTATGGTTTGAAGTATTCACTAGAGAAAAAAATAAAATTAAATAATAACCGGATTAAGTAGAATGAAAACATCCCCTAATAGCATTTACATGTATATATATATTGCACAAAACCAGGAAAACGGGAATTTAGAGAAAGAAAGTACAATGCTTTTATCATTGATTATTAAGGATTGGATAAGTCAATTTCATTTAAGGTTTTTGTGGTAGGTTAAATGAACATTCATATAGGTACATAGGCATTTTTTCAATAACAATTATTGTATAATGTTTATACATGAAGGATATCAGCGATGCCAAATAACATATGACGGCATTCGTTGATGCCCCCTTCAAATACACGGATTTTTCTTACGAGTCCTTACGGATCACCAACTCGTAGTCAATCGCAAGCATCCGTAAATAACTCGCTGGTATTCGTGAATAACTCGTCAAAACTCTCAACAACTCGCAGACACGCTTAAGGATCCGTGAAATGAGGGGCAAATGTTTTGACATGTCAAAATTCTTCTTACGATTTTCCTCAAATTGATTTTCGGTAAATAACTCCTAACAATCTGTACGTATCGTTCACCGCTCGTAAACCGCTCGCAACAACACAAAACCTGCTCGCAAGAATCCGTAAAGGACAAGTTACATTTTTTTAAAGATTTGTTACGGTTAGTTAAAGAGTTATTTACGTATTATTACGAGTGCTTACGTGTTTCTTACGGTTTCATCCGGGTCGATTTACGATGGTTTTACGGAATGTTACACATTTTTTCGATTACTCATCGTGAAGTTACGAGTAATTTTCGAATAAATACGTTTAACTTACGTATTCTTACATATTCCTACGTATTGTTTACGATTTGGGAAAACGTATAAAATCTGCAAAATCGTAAGGACTCGTAAATACGTCATTATTTCGTAAATATTCGTATCAACGCGTAAACAGTCTTAACTAATTAATAACATTTCGTAATATACTCGTAACAATCCGTATAATCATAATAATCCGTAATGAGCCATAAATAAGCTCGTAATAACTCACAACACATCTTAAATCGGTCGTAAGAACTCGCAAGAATAATCCGTGTATGTGAAGGGGGTATCATGACGGTCAGGTAGGCACGATTCAGAAAACAAATGTGTACGGACTTTCCACAGTTTCCCACATATTTTTTTTTAAATTAAATCATCCTTCCACGACTTTCGACTGAATAATTTAAAAAAGGTCACGTACCCTAAACAACGCTAAAGTGGTTGGTTATGAAAAGGTTATTTAGGTTATTGAATATCTGCGGGTTTTTTTTCACCACACATTTTTAGTGTTCGCCTGTTTACATTATTTTTGAATTTTTTTTTTTTAAATTATAGGCAATAGTTACGAAAGCAGAGAAGGATCATTTATATTTCAGGATTCAAAATTCAAACTTCTTAACTAGCACATCAGTAGAGATGTTCCAGTGTTATTGCAGTACAAATCTAAACACTTCAAATAAAACTCTTGGATGATCATAAATAAGACCACAAGGAAGGATTTCAAATGTTATACGAGTGATACCAAATCTGCTTCGTAGATTAATAATATAATTGTGCACACACAAACAACGAAAGGATCTCAAAGGATATGGACAGATATTATATCGGGCAACTGAAATTTTCCGAGTTTTTTTATCTTGTTTCTTGATATCATTCATACTCCAAGGGATAGGAAAATCGAATGTGATTTCAAATCTTTTTCGAATGTGTCATGTTTTTCCTGAGTTAGTAACTTTAAACTCATTCATCCTGTTTATAATTTTTCCTTAGAATACACTAAGTCACTTAGTACATTTATCAGTAAAAAATGACTTTTCCAAAGAGATAAATAAAAATACTAAATTATAAGGCACAAATCCCAACACAGGTATAACATAAATCAGTCGGATAAATGAGGCTCTAGTAGGTAACCCCTTAGGTCACAAGATAGATCACGTTTAAGAATTTCCTCGGGTCAGCAGGTCATTTTTAAGCACACTATACAATTTTGAACTGATACAATTTTCAGTTTTTAACATTTTTAATGGTCACGTGTCATTTTACATGAGACGCCTAGTCACAAGGTCGGCAGCCAAACAATTCAAATGTCGCAGTGGAGATGAAATAATTTTGAATTTGAGCCACAAAAGAAGATTATTATGAGGATTAGCATTGGATGTTTTATGTAAACAAATGGGATTTAATACATATTTCATTTAAAAACTGAATGCTTTCATATATGTGACTAGCCACGAGATTTCAAGGCTTATGGGGGTACCCGGTCTAAAATGGACTTATATCATATTTATCTAGTACATACTGAGACAAATCATCCCATCATGTAATTATGAAAGATTTGTTGACTTTTTATAAAATTTTATAATTTCATAAGATCTATAAGGCACACATATATTTTATTGGCGCTGAGTAATTTTTAACAGCCTATTTAAAAACAAATTTCAAATGTACCAAATGTACTAAATGTACTAAATGTACTAAATGTACTAAATGTACTAAATGTACTAAATATACCAAATGTACTAATAGTACAAAATGTATTCATTGGCAATTTGATCACGTCTTCTTATTTCTATATAAACACAGCTCTTTAATTTTAAAAATGAAATTTAATTTAAAATTTGCACTGAAATCAATTTAAAATAATTTACACTTCTTTTATTCGAGCGTTACGGATGAGTTTTTGTAGACAAAGCACGTGTCTGGCGTACAAAATTTTAATCGTAGTAGTCGTAGTAGGTATGATGAGTTTATTTAGTCTCAATGACAGCTTGTGGTAGGCATTTTTTTTTTTAATTTTCCTTCAATCTTGACAGTTTGAAACTTTGATGATGAATGTATCGACCGAACATAGCATGCGAAGCGTAACAGTTTGAGACGTATTTTCCAAGATGACATCTAAAACATGCATTTATTATAATGATGCACATTTAATGACTTTAACTATGAACACTGTATAGAGCAGATGGTATTGAATTTTAAACACGTTGAAAACGTGTACACTTGCTAGCAAAACATGTAACCAAAGTAATGTGGTATACCTTCTTCAAAAATACTTCCAAACGACAACAGTCTTAAATTTGTAAATGTTTGATGTACTTTCAATTTATATATTATTTATACAGTAAATTAGATTTAAAAACTACCATGCTAACATATCTTATGACTTCTTTGGACTTCCATGATAAATGTCTAATATTGTTTCTGATCTTTCTCTTTACTTTTACATGGATATTTCAAGGATTTGAACTCCTAATAGTACATCACATATATTCATGTCTATCGACTTACATAAGCCGACTAGACCTAACATAGACAGATTGTCTTGTGAGTTTTATAATGTGCTATGTCCACTTTTGAAAAAAATGGAGATAGATATATATTTCAAATCAAGCTGCAATAGTCTATCTCTCATAACAACTATAGACAGATATTTCTACATTCACAGAAGTATACTAGTTGAACATCGGAAGTTCAGAGTTTTTTATCACCTGTATTTTCTATATATTATTGTTCTAGAACTATTGTTATCAACATTATGTAGTTAGTAATACTATGCTTAACTTTATATTGCATAAATTCAACTCCATCTATGAGTAATACTGAGCAAATCAAGCATTACAGAATTTGGGGCAATACATAATTCAAAAATCCAAAGTGTATCTGCAATACAAATATTAGAAATGATTTCTTAAAGAACATTTTGGGTATGCGGTGTTCTCTCTCTAGATAAGGAGATACTTTATTTATATAAGGGGCTTATTTATTCAAAGCCGATTGAACAAAGAGTTGCTCTTCAACGTCATATATTCGATTGCTACATAGCTTTCTTTATCTCAGGCAAATATTTATAATATTACACTTTTTTAAAACGTCATTTTCAATTTCCTAAAATTTAAACAAATGGAATTTACATCATCATAACAATCACACTACGAAATACATCTTCCTCTTTAAATAAACTTCCTGATCGTCCTAGAGATACTTGCATTTGCATGGAAACTTAAAAAATTTACACGTTTAAGTAGGCAATAGCGTTGAAAAGTATATATAAGGGAAGACAGTTTTAAATTGAGCTGTTTAAATTTAGAAAAAAGTACGTTAAGTTTTCAGTAACTATTATAGTTCTAACTAAATGCGGTTCGATTTTATAATTTTACAACAGAATAGTTTGACATTCGTTAAAATGTTCTTTCGTTATATTTTAGGAACTGTATAACCTGCTTTTCTGAATATCCTATTTCATAGCACACTAGTCTTATTAAGTAAAGTTGGGGATAGTTGTATTTAATATCTGAAGATATTAAAACCTAAGAAAAGGCGAGGTCATAAACAGGAAGCATTATCAAAAAAGTTGGATGAAATAAGGCTACATTCATGAATGTGTTTATCTAAATTGGTATTATTGGCTGTTCCAATGTAACACATACATTGTATGTTGAATAAATCGCGAGTTCAAAGTAAAATAACAAAAATACCGAGCTCCAAGTAAAATTCAAAACGGTAAGTCCCTTAACAAATGGCAAAATCAAAAGCTCAAACACATAAAATGAATAGAAAACAACTGTCATATTCCTGACTTGACCTAAAATATCATTGGTGAGGTTTATTTGAGGTTTTATTGACAAAAAGAATGTAGTTTAGCATAATTGATGAATAATTCATTAGCAAAATGTGAAGGAGCCTGTTATTCAGTGGTTGTTTCGTTTAATGATTTGTACATAAATAAGGCCGTCAATTCTCTCGTTTGAATTGTTTTGCACATGTCATTTTTAGGTTTTTTGTAGCTTTATATGCGGTATGGGTTTTGCTCATTGTTAAAGACGGAACGGTGATCTAAAGTTGCTAGCTACGTCAATTGGATTCTGGTGGATAGTTGTCTAATTGACAATCATACCACAACTTCTTATCTTTATATATACATTGCACCAATCAAAGAATATTGAAGAAAGCATGCTTTACTAAATTTTTCATGTGTTTTAGACAAAGATTTTAAAAGGTAAAAAATGCAGAATGTTTCAACTTTGATTAGTTCCTTTCCTTTCGTTAAACTCTTTAAATTGTATTTCATTGTTAACGCTTAAAACCATGCAGAATTTAAATTCAATATATGTTTAAAAAATAACATAACCTTTCTCATTAACGGCGTTTTCTCACAATGATGTTACACCTCCATGAACCTGGAAATGTCATGACGGGTCACATATGCGATCCGCCACTATTTGTTGAGACTATCCCATGTGTCATTGAACAAATCTTCATATTCCCTTCTGAGGATCATATTCCCCTCTGAAATGTCGGGATTACATCGTGCGACGTTACGCGCGGTTAATGTACATAACGTTTTGAACTTCTTATTCTTCTTAAAATAGTGATAGCAAAAATCATTATCATGTTCAAATTTATTTCAGACGATAAAACAAAAAGACTTATAATGAACTATTGATCCGTACCGTTTATCAATGTGTATGTCATGTTTAGTTTAACTTATAAAAACAAGCGGATAAGAAAAAATGTATGCAAAATAATAATTAATGTATTGATAGTAAACAAAGCATATGCAGTGGAATAAAACATTCATTTCCCTTTGCCTCGGGAGATATGAAGATTTGCTCACCCTCGAAAAATCATATTTCCCTCGGGCAGAGAAAAGAGGACGAAAGATACCAGAGGGACAGTCAAACTCATAGATCGAAAACAAACTGACAACGCCATGGCCAAAAATAAAAAGACAAACAGACAAATAATAGTACAGATGACACAACATAGAAAACTAAAGACTAAGCAACACGAACCCCACCAAAAACTGGGGGTGATCTCAGGTGCTCCGGAAGGGTCAGCAGATCCTGCTCCACGTGTGGCACCCGTCGTGTTGCTTATGTTATTACAAATCCGGTAAATAGTCTAATTCGGTAAGTCACATTCGTGAAAAGGGAAGGGTATTGTAGTTGTAGTTGTAGTTGTAGACATAAGGAACATATCCGATATCATCTGTGAAACGGTTATTCCATAACGGTCAACCAACTCGTGATGGCGTCCGTAAAATTTACGAAGGGATGATTTCAACTTCACCATTTTGAACTCTTGGTTTAATAGCTTCCTTGTGAGCAGCAATCCTCTATCAAGGAAATCATGATAGGAAACACAAGCCCGGGAATATCGTATCAATTGGGAGATATTTATTCCGTATGCAGGCGCTGCTGGAATGTTGCTACATAGAAATGGAAAGTTCACAATTGGGAAGCTGAAATCATCTCTTTTGTCGTAAAGTTTTGTTTTCAACCGACCCTCATTGTCAATTTCTAGATGTAAGTCAAGATATGAGGCAGACTTAACTGTATCTGTAGTATCCTTTATCTCTAGTTCGATGGGATAGATTCGTTCAACATAGTCACAAATTTTTGTATTATTTAGTGAGAGAACATCATCTATATAGCGGAACGTAGAGTTAAAGGATATTGCTAACTTCTTATCTTCTTATCAGAGCCCTCGTGAAATATGAATATTCTTGGGTGAACATATCTTCATATCTCCCTCAGGCATGGGAAATAAATTTATAATATTTCATGCGTCCGAAGCGCTTTTCTGGATTTACCTTCATCAGGAACGAACGTTACGTCAATTTTTGGAAACATACAAGTTTATTTGTATACAAAATTTAAAGTTAAGATGCTTTTTAGTATTAAATATGAAATATAATTCAAACTTTTAGCTAAAAAAAGTAAGGAACTAATCATAAACGGTAACTTTAAGTTGGAACATCCTATGTATTTTAATTCTCAATATCTTAGTCTAAAAATCATTAAAATTTTCGTAAAAAATGTTAGGAAATTTATTATAAATGTTTAAAAGCGCAATATCATAAATATTTTACAGAGATATAGAAAGTTATTTAAAAATCGGATTTATGGACTTGTTGAGCGACATTTTGTTCAATCGTTTTAAAATAAACAAGCCCCTTAAAATAATGATAAATAAAGTATCCCCTTTTCTGGAGACAAAACACTACAATACAAAAAACGTTCTTTTAGAAATCGTTTTCTATATATTCGAGATAGACCATGGATTTTTGAATTCCGTAATATCCCTAATTCAATTCCTCAATGCTATGAACTTCCGAGGTTCAACTAGTATAGTTCTCACAAAAACTCATAAAATGTAGAAATCTTGTTTTATCGTTTTATCAGGAGATAGACCTTTGCAACTGGATCTCAAATATAAAGCCATCTTCATTTTTATCCAAAGTTGACATAGAACATTAAGAGTCACGCGATAGTTTGTCTATGTCAGTTAATATCAGTAAACAGAAAGATCAGAAACAATATTAGACAGTTATCATGGAAGTCAAACGAAGTCGTAAGATATGTTAGCATGGTAGATTTAGAATATAATTTACTTCATAAAGCGAAGCCAGGTACAAATTATATATAAATTGAAAGTAAATCAATCATTTTCAAAAATAGGCTGTAAAAAATTACTCAGCGCCAATGAAATGTATGTGTACTTTATAAGTTAATGTGATCGCTTAACAAACTCAATGTTGAT